AGAGAGAAATTGAGACCCAGAGAGAATGAAAGCTTCCATGACAGCATTAGCACTTAGTGTCAGGTGCAGAGTCTGAACCCAACGAATCAGATCTGCAACCCTCATGCTTCACCACTGCACTACCGTGACTCCTAAGACTTTCCATCTCTTCTCATTTATCTCTTCTTATCATGGCATGATAGTATTGGTATGTACTGCCATCTTCATTCTAAACTCAGGCTCAGAGAGGTCACAAAAGCTACTTACGATCACATAATTGATACCTTGGAGGAGCTAGGACTTAATCTCAAAATCTCCAAATCCAGAAGTCCTGTGCTGTCCCCAATCTAACCCTCACACCAGGCACACCTGTCCTGCATCCCAGACAGAGCCCCTAGTCCCTCCTAGACAGCAAATAAAACCTTACTAATGAGACCCTGCTCACCTGAAAATACCCTTCCAACTGATGCTTGTCAGAAATCCTGGCACACAATATTTTTTAGGATTCTTCAGTTTTCTTTTAAAACATAATTACCATCAAATAGTTGTCACTTGAACTTCCCTCATAATTGAGTGTGAGTGATTTTAGTAAGTAATCCTTTTTTAGGCACCTGCTCCTACCGGATGCGCTGAGAAGTACTGCTGGGGAGACACCAAGAGAAAGAAAAGGTCGCAGAGATAGAAGCTAGCTGACCAACTTCATCTCTTTTAGGAATCCTCATTAGTAGGTTGAAGAGTTCCTAGAGGCTCTTTTTTACTAAATTGTCTAATAGGGAGCTTAATGATAATAAGGTATAGGCAGTTTGATGTTCAAACAAAATCAGAACAAGTGAGAAAAGGAAGGAGTAGGCCCAGGATGCCAGGAAGAAACACACGCCAGTCTGGAAGTCCCCCAGCCTCTACGCAATACCCTTTTATGGAGCAACAAGAGCTAGAAGGCTAATGGATTAGAAGGGAGAAGGAAAATTAGATAGCAACTTGTGAAATTATATGCCCAAGGTTACTGTTAACAAGACATTGCTTGATTCGTTCAGACATTTATTTGTTTATTCTGGAAATATTTACTGGGGTCACCTGAGTACCAGTCACAGTTAGAAGCTGAGAGGCCAGTGGAGGCATCAAACACATGAACAGGTAATTATCTCAAACAGTGCAGTAAGCCGGGTGATCAAGAGGCACAAGAGTTGTTGTAGCAGTTTGGTCATGGGGAGTGTGAGCTCAGGAACAGCTCCCCAGAGGAGGTGACACCTGAGTTGAAGCTTAAACTGTGACAGTTAGGAAGTAGACAGAGAGAGAGGAGCAAGGACATTTGGAGAAAGGGAATGGTAACAGCAAAGGTATAAAGGTGAGAACTCAAAGTAGTTTTGTTTGGACAGGACAAAAACCCACTTACTAGATGCAAGCCTGGTCCTGAGACCTGTTTCCACAGATCTCAAACAGTGAAGGGTACAAAGCATCCTCTTGGTAAGAGGATGGAGCTAGTTAGGTTGGACCTGGCTTCTTAGCTGACTATTCCCAGGACAGAAGTAAAGACTCTGAGAGGAAGTTTTGAAAAAGTATGGTCCAGGAAGAGAAAATTCTAGTCCTTACACATCTACCAGACTCATGGGAGAAGATGTCACAGGGATGAAGAAGCAGACAGATAGGGAGAAGAGAATGGGGTGCTTTGGTCCCAGGACTGAAGAGATCACAATGGCTGGAGGGACTTCAGGTCTTGTGTGGAGTGGGTTGCTAGAACTCCTGTGCTTTGGGAGAAGAGGCCTAGGCTTGGGGAGTGGAGCAAACATTCAATGGGAATGTAAAGAGAGCCCTATAGATCAGATCAGAATGACATGAGAGAAGTGGCAAAAGACTATGTTTAGTGAGGAGAATGGATAAGAAAACAAAAGAGGACTATACAAAACATGGCAGGGGACAAGGCAACACCACCTGGGATGCAGCATGGAATAGCTAAAGGCAGGGGAATGGAAAAGAGGTGGGGAGACACTGGATGAACCAGGTAAGAGGGTGGGTGCCATTGCTCAATCCTAGCATTCTGGGAGGCTGAGGTGGGTGGATCGCCTGAACTCAGGAATTCCAAGGCTAGCCTGAGCAAGAGCGAGACTCCATCTCTACCAAAAATAAAGAAAAACTATCCAGGTGTTGTGGCAGGCATCTGTAGTCCCATCAACTCAGGAGGCTGAAGTAAGAAGATTGTTATGATGCCATGGCACTCTACCCAGGGTGACAGATAAGACTCTGCCTCAAAAAAGAAAAAGAAAAGAAAAAACTAGGCAAAAAATTTAGATTTCTTCTGTTGAAACTTACACTTAATTCCCACATACAGAACAGTGTGTGGACATTTTTTTAAATTTCTGCCTATTATCCATTTCCCATTGAGCAATCACCCTTGTTCCTTTGGGTAGAGTCTATGGGGCTTTCCTAAGAAGCTATGACCTCCCTGCCCAAGGGATGAGAAATGATCCAAGCTAAAGCTCTATGCTTCTTATCTGGAATTTGAATCTTGAGAACTAAAAATGGCTGATGGTATGGCTGATAGTATAAAAATTGATATACTAAAGAAGCAATTGATATTATATACAGTACTTACATCTAGCCAGCTTACTAAATCATCTTATTTATTCTACAAATTGTTGACTAGAGGTGCTTAAATTTCCTGATATACAATCATAGCATCAGCTAAAAAGAGATAGTTTTACCTCTTCTGATATTTATGCCAGTTATTTTATTTTTATGTCTTATGGCCTTGGAGGTTCTAGCAAATGTAATGTTTAATATTGGTAATTGTGGGTATCCATGAACACTTTCTGATTTTAACTGAAATGATCTCCATGTTTCTCAGATCTACTGTTGTTCTGAGTAAATAATCTTTGTGTGTCTAAGTAATCACCCAGTGTTTCCATTTTACCTGGAATTCAGTAAGAATGGCTGCTGAAATTCATCAACTGCTGCTTTACTATATTGATGTGAACGTTTTCTATTTTAATTCGTTAATAAAAAGATTATAGTGATCATTTCTTCATATCAATTGCATACAAAACAAATACCCAAAATTAATACCTTTTCCCACCCCAGCAATAATCACTAAAGATTAGAAATGAAAGATTTTATTTATATCAGTAAAAACTTTAAAATATTCACAAACAAATTTAGCTAAAAATACAGGTGACAACAGAAAGCACTGTAAAAAGTATTACTGAGAAATATAAAATAATATCAGAATAAAGAGAAAACAGACCATATTTTAAATTTATGGAGTAATTAGTATGAACATGGCAATTGCCCCAAAATTAATATATTGATTCTAGTTTCAATTAGAATCCCATCAGCCACTTTAATTGAATAAAATAAACATAAATTCTATGTGAGAGTAAGAACGCCTGGAAATAGTCAATAAAGGAATGAAAAAAGAACACTCAAGGGCAGACTGGACTGGCTCAGCACCTGTAGCACAGTAGTTACAGCACCAGCTACATACACTGAAGGTGGCAGGTTCGAACCTGGTCCAGGCCAGCTAAACAACAATGACAACTGTAACAACAAAAATAACTAGGCATTGTGGTGAGTGCCTGTCAACCCAGCTACTTGGGAGGCCAAGGCAAGAGAATCACTAGAGTCCAAGAGGTTGAGGTTGCTGTGAGTTGTGACAGCATGGCACTCTACCATGGGCAACATAGTGAGATTCTGTCTCAAAAAAAAAAAAAAGAAAGAAAGAAAAGGTCAGACTGGACTATACATACATAGGTCAGATGTTATACGTTTACCACCACCAGGTCAGTAGGAAGTATAGGAATAGATGAATAAATGAGGGAACATGTAGAGGACATAGAAATAGACTCTACATAGGGGAGAATTTAATAAACAACAAAAGCGGTGACTCAATTTGGTGAGAAAAGGATGTCTTTCTTCATAAATAGTGCTGGCCCAACTAGCCAAGCAAGAGTCACTGCAGTAAGAGTTTGGATTTCAGCACAGATTCCCAGGGAAGAAATCCTACTTTATCCACTTGATCTTCACATCTATGACCTTTGGCCTAGTGACTCAACTTTGCTGTGTCTCATTTTCCTCATCTGTAAAATGGGTATCATACCCTAAGAAAATCTGTGTCTTAGAGTTGTGAGGGACAGGGCTCAAGTTACTCAACACAAGTAAATTTCTTATACCTACCCAGGTATCAGAGTACTTAGCACATAGCCAGCCCTCAGTAAGTATTAGCAATTATTATTTAAAATATCATTGGGAACAAAACCAATATGAACTTTCAACTTCCACTCAACACAAAAATTAATTTGCAGGTAGATTCAGATTTAAATGTGAAAAGTAAAACCAAAATGTTAAAAATAATTTATGGAAAAAGCTACACACATACTTTAGAGAAGGGGATGGGGAAACATTTTCTCTCAAGACTGGAGATTAGGAGCTATACAACTTTAAAACAGACATTTAACTACATAAAAAAGTAATGCATTCAATGGAAAAATGTGCCCTAAACAAAGTAAATAAAAAACAGACTTTGGAAAGAAAGGAAAAAGACAAGACATCTCAGTCCAATAAATGAGCAGACGTCAGGAATAGTCCATTTACAGAAGTGCTCAGCTAAATGTCCCACAAACAAATGCAAAGATACGCTGAGAAATGCAAATTAAAATAACAATGAGATATCACTTTACATTCCTCAGACTGGCACAATTAAAAAGAGCAATAACCTCTATCACTATCAAGAATGTGTGAAAAGGGTGCTTTCAAAGACTGCTTGAGGACTTGTGAAGTGTTAAAATGTTTTGAAAAGCAATATGATAGCATCTGTTCATATTTAAGATACACATCCCCTTCTATTCATCTACCCTACTCCTGGACTACACAAGATATAGAAGCACCAGGGCAGACAGACAAGGACATTTATCGCAACATTGTGCATGGGAGGAAAAAAAATCAGCTGGAAATAAAATTATAATCGATGGGAAAATGCCACATGTGTAATCCTCACAATGGAATATAATGCTCCCATTAAAAGGAGTTAAGTTCTTGCTCAGCAGCACGCATATTAAAATGGGAACAATACAGAGAAGATTAGCAGGGACCCTTCACAAGGGTGACATGCAAATTCATGAAACATTATAAAAAAATTTTTTTAAAGGAGCCAATTAGAGCTCCGCTTTTTGACAGGGAGGGATTTCCATAAGATACTGTCAATTGTCAAGCAGGAGCAGCAAATGTGCAGAGAGAAGCAGAGGACTGATTCCAGAAAACAGTGTTCTCGAGGGACAGAGGGAAGAGACACTGCTGAGGGGCACCCGGGCAGAGTCTAAGGCACTGGTAATCTTCTATTCTTTAACAGCAGATAGACAGATACACCGTGAATGTTTGTTTTACTTTTTTTTTTATTTATTTCTTATAGCATAACTACGCACATTAATGCAATCACAGGGTACAGTGTGCTGTTTTCATATACATTTTGAAATGCTCTCATCAAACTGGTTAACATAACCTTCATGTCATTTTCTTAGTTATTGAGTCAAGACATTCATACTCTGCTTTTAGAAAGATTCACTTGTACCCTTGTAAGATAAACCATAGAGGTGACCCCACCAATCTCCCTCCCTCCCCCCATCCACCCCCTTCACCTTCCTTCTCCTACCCTCTTCCCATATTCTAAGGCTATAATTAGGTTATGACATTCCTATAAAAGCTATGAATTAGTTTCAAAATAGGGCTGTGTACATTGGATACTTTTTCTTCCATTCTTGAGATACTTTGCTAAGAAGAACATTTTCTAATTCCATCCATATAAACATACTTTTTAAAACCATATAAATACCTTTTTAAACTATCTTTTCTATGTATTTTCTATTTCACGATGAAGTTGTTTCTAAAAAGTTGTTTCTAAATACATCAAATAAGCATATATTTTTTAGGTAAAATGATGACCTAAAAACATATACTGGTTTATATATAAATTATACGAGCATAGAGAAAACTGTGGCAGGATACATACTAGGTTATCAACACGAACTACCTTGGAGTGGAGTTAGGGGACCAATATATACGAAAGAAGAGGAAAGACATCAAGAAAAGATGGAAAGGACAGGGTGCACTTAGAAAAACATTGCTTAATTAAATCATCACACATACATTTATGTGTGTGTACATGTAAATTACGGAACAGGTTAGAAATAAAAAGCGAAGAGAGAGCAGAGCCTAGGACTTGTCCTCAGAAGCCTCCTCCCTGTACATTCTTCCTTGGACCTCAGAATACACGGTGCCTGTGAGCAATGCAGCCTCTGCCACTGTTACTTCTAATTCTCCCAAACTATCCACCTTCCTCCTAATTTTCTTTTTTTTATTGTTTGGGATTCATTGAGGTTACAAAGAATTAGGTTACCCTGGTTGTGGTTGTTAGGTAAAGTCCCTCTTGTAATTGTGTCCTGCCCCCAAGTGGTGTGCCACATACCATAACACTCCATCTCCTCCTTCCTCCCCTCTCTCCATCCCTCATTCCCCTCCTCTTGTATTAGATCATCTATTGCCTTCATATTAGAATTGAGTACATTGGATTCTCCATCCAATGTCAAGTCTCCATCTTTTTTTTTAAATTTTTTTTTGTTTGTTTTGAGACAGAGTCTCACTATGTCACCCTCAGTAGAGTACCATGGCATCACAGCTCACAGCAACCTCCAACTCTTGGGTTTAAGTGATTCTCTTGCCTCAGCCTCCCAAGTAGCTGGGACTACAGGCACCCTCAATAAGGCCCAGCTGGTTTTGCTGTAGTTGTCATTGTTGTTTAGCAGGTCCAGGGTAGGTTTGAAACTGCCACCCCAATGTACGTGGCTGGTGCCCTAACCACTGAGCTACAGATGGCTGAATAAAACTCCATAGTATACATATACACAGCTTGTTTTCAGTGGCCATCACTAAACAAAAATTAACAAATAGGACTTAATTAAGCTGAAAAGCTCCTGCACAGCTGAGGACACAAGTAGAGCTAAAAGGCAACCTTCAGAATAGGAAAGGATATTTGCAGGGCATCAGTCTGACAAAGGGTTGATGACTAGAATCTACAAAGAACTCCAATTAATCAACAGAAAAAAAGGAAACAATCCCATTTATCTCTGGGCAAGAAATATGAACAGAACCTTCTCTGATGAAGACAGATTAATGTCTAACAAACATTTGAAAAAATGTTCATTGTCCCTGATCATCAGAGAAATGCAAATAAAAACCACCCTGAGATATCACCTAACCCCCGTGAGAATAGCCCACATCAAAAAATCTCAAAGCTGCAGATGCGGCATGGATATGGAGAGAAGGGAACACTTTTACACTGCTGGTGGGACTGCAAAGTAACACAACCTTTGTGGAAGGAAGTACGGAGAATCCTCAAAGAACTCAAATAGACCTCCCATTTGATCCTGCAATCCCATTACTAGGCATTGACCCAGAAAGAAAAAAATCCTTTTTATCATAAGGACATTTGCACTAGACTGTTTATCGCAATTCAATTTACAATCGTCAAAATGTGGAAACAGCCTAAATGCCCACCAATCCTTCTAAAATTTACAAGAAGCTAACCATCCATCAGTACAACCAGGGTTAAATTACATCTATAGCAATGCCAATAAAGCAGCATCTAAAATTAAAGGAGAAGCCGATGGAAATGAATTTTAAAACCAACCAAGCTCCATTACAGCCTGACAAAGTGCAATAGCAGAAGTCTGCTTAGCTGCCAAATTGGTGACCCGATACCTGTTTATGCTCAGAATCCCCCTATAGTCTCTTGGGCCACTTCTCCTCAGTCAACGTCTCTGCTGCCAACTCTACCCAGGCTGTAGATGAAACCAGTTGCAAGCAGAAGTTCCTTATGTTTCAGACTTGGCAGGCCGTGCATGTGTATCCTTCCAATAAGATGGTAAACCTCTGGAGCCCACATGAGCATACCTGTCTCTGATTTTTCTTTTCCAGCACTGTGTTGCCAGACAGCAGGAGGATATAGAAAAAAAAGAAAAGAAAAGACATCCCCAACCTACTTGTTTGTAAAAACAGGAATTCTACTATTCACCTTCCATGATTTAGCGAGCTTTTTGAGAATCAAACAAAATAGCCCATGAAAATGTAATTCTCTTGATTATAAAATTCAACTCTCTATCTGTATCTCCCCATCCTAATGACCCAAGGAAATCGGTATCTGAGCAGAGGTTTGTTCAGTGGATGAGAGCGGTGATACTGTTCACTGAGGAAACTAAGTGACCTACTTGGGGATCAAATCCAGGACTTTAGCTTCATCTATTAAGACTGTGTGCCAACAAGTTAAGATTATCATGGTCTCAGTGAAGGAGTTACTGGCATGGAAAGTTGTAACAGACACCTCTTGTGCGCTCACACCCTCTCTGTTCACCTCTGCACCCCAGGAACTGCTGCTGCAAATAGCTGCCTGTCGGTTTAACTCCACAGCGCTTTGCCTCAGCTCATCACAGATCTCTCATGTTACGCCCTGGGGCACCTCAGCTGCCAGCGTGTGGGAAGCCTGCAGGATCCTGCAGGGCACAGGAGTAAACCTGGAAATGTGAGAGAGCTAATGCCCTGTGTGGTAACCCATGACCAAGGGGAGATAGGAACAGTGGATAAATACTGCCTTCTTCTATCCTTCAGGCAGAAATTTGAAGGCACAGTCTCCACAGCTCCTCAGAGACCCCCAGCAGCATTAAGCCTCAGTTGTCCATCATAATCTTCCAAACAATAGGACTTTGCCTTTTTTGCCGTTTTATGCTTCCCAAAATAGGCTATCTGCACTAGTAATCCTTTTGAAGGAACTGAGGCTAGGGTTGAAGGAAAAGAATTGATTTCCAAAGGGGGGAAAAAATAAACAAAAAGGACAATATAATAAAAGGCCAGATTGCAAAATGGACAACTTATCACTTAGGTCAACCATAGCCCACTCTGTGGTTTTATCTTACCTGCACTACCTTGGGCAACACCAACCCCCTCCCTCCCTATCTGTACCCCCCAACGCTGCAAAGAGAAACACTGTGCTTATTGAAGGGTGAGCTAAGGATCTCAAGGCTGTCTGTAGGTGTCAGCTTGCCTGAGACCCCAAGAAGCACCATTATTACCATCGATATAATGAGTGCTCAGAAATATTCCTGCAAATAATTCTTAGAATTAAAATTAGACACCAAGCTGAAGTAGTTTTTCATATGTTAAGGATGCCTGTTAAAATCCAAAAGCTCACGACTTCTTCCTTTGAAAAATGTACATAAATACAAAGTTTGCATAAAATATCAGGAGGTTCATGGACCCCGCACAGCCCATCTATGAGCTCACATCATGGCTGTACCATTCCAACTGGCCAAATTTAGAGAAATTATAGAAAATGGACATCTGGCCAGATTGCTTACACCCTTCTCAGGCCTGAGCTGGTGCTTAGCTCATAATCACCTCAAATCAAGGCGGCCAGTTTAAGAAAATCTCTAATCGTAAGGACACTGTAAAGTCTGGGTACCTTTGGGGCTAAAGTAGCCTTCAAAATCTCACATGAAACCAGATTTCCCCATCCCCTTTCCCACCCAGAGCAACCTCAAGCCCAAGCTTAGCCTTGGAATCAATGTGGTGATCGATCCTCTTACCTACCTCATCTTAAACCCAGTCTTTCTGATAAAGAAAGTCAAATGAGATTTCCATAGCCACTATCATAGCCCCAATCAATTCAAGCACACCGACAGGTACTTAGATAGGTATCATTTTCAGAAAAACTTCAGTAAGCCCCTGTCACATTTATTCCAACCTACATATTATATCAGACAAACTAGAACTAGAGTTGTAACCATCTCTGTGTAATATAAACCCTGGGATCAAGATCAACATATACTAATTCTCCATAAACATTACTGGGCTAGGTTATTGGGCTAGCCATGTGCCTTAGAGAGGGTCTGCTCAGAAGCAAACTCTGAGATCAAGATTGAAGTGCAAGTAGTTTATTTGGAAGATAATGTGGGGATGTGACCTAAAGGTGGGGCAGCACCCATCTGCTCTAACTGTGAGGGGTACACTGTCAAGCCAGTTACTACCAAGGAAAAATGAACTTTAAAGTCACTGAAGAGATCTAGAAGCCAGTGAAAAATCCCTCCAGTCATTGGC